TGGCACGGCTCACCATGGCGTCGCAGAGGCGCATGTCGCAGTCGAGAGCTTGAGGCCCAGGGCCGCCCTCGGCGTCCCAGTACAGTACCACATCTCGCCAGCGGGTGCGGGTAGTGTGGATGCGCTCGGCGACGGACTCGCAGACGGTCCTGACTGTGACACGATCCCTATGCATGTTGGTGATGGCTAGGGAGTAAGGTCGGCGGACCGTTTTGTTGAAGGTGAAGTCCTCCTTGAGGGCCTGGTGGGGGCCGAAGAGCACGTAGCCTTCCCTCCACAGCGGTTGGTCGGGGGACGGGTCTTCAGGCATCCCCGTTCCTGTGAACCCAGGTGGCCGCCTCGTGCCGTCGGGCAATCCCTGCCTGGGGACGCGCCGCGGCCTCGGTGGAAGATACCATTGACCCTGGTAACCAGCTTGGCCTGGTTGTGGAGGCTCCCCCCCGGGGCCTGAAGGCGCTCGGGGGGGCTCCTTGAGGTCGTGGTGGGCTGGCGCGTTGCCATATTGGCGGGCAAGGATGTGCGGAGGCATCCCTGTGGCACGGACGTCGAACAGGCTGTGCGGACTAGGCGGATGGGGGCACCTGCTGGAGAGGCAGCATGTGTCGGAGTCCCTGTTGTCGGTGCTGTATGCACACGTCCAGCTGTTGCAAGAGTAGTCCGTGGACCAGTCCATAAGTGCACGTAGTCCGCTGAGGGCGCAGTCTGGGCACGTTGGTTGGCCCGAGGTGCCGAGCTGCGTGTTGCGGCGGGCCGCACAGTACTGACAGCATTGGAATCGGCACTGTAGGCATGACCAGCGTCCTGGTAGGGGCGGGAGCGCTTGCTCGTTTGTGCCTGGGTCGTCTGGGTGGGGTCGGGGTCGATCCCACAAGGGCCAGACGTCGGCAAACCAGGACTGGCCTGTAGTGCGGACGACCTCGGCGGGGAGGCGAGCGTCGTCGGCGTGGCGCTCGATCCACTGGGGCCCCATGTCCGCTGGTACCATGACCGTGCGCCACGTGTCATCCGCCTTGACGTGGACTTGGGTCGGTGCCCAGAGCTTGGTAGTGGTATCGCCATGGTCGTGGTGGAGGATGACCCAGCCGTCGCGACCCGCCACCGCAGGGTCGATAACGCGATGGCCCATGACGGTCGTCCCCCACGGTAAGTAGGCGCCGTCGTGGTGATCGCCAGGGTCAAGCCAGACCTCGATGCCAGGGGCATTGACACGGGCCCGCACATCGCGGACGTGGAAGGCGAGGACGTGGTAGGCGGTCGGCTCCTCTTCCGTCACGATGTGCTCCCACGTCTCGATGTCGCTGTTGTCCGAGGTGGAGTTTCCGCCACTCTGCCGTGACGAACGGGAGGCGGATCGCCGTGGGCGGGCGTGGCCTCGGGCGAGGGCGGCGGCCGCACTGATGAGGGACGGCATACGGCGGTCGTCGTCTCCTGATGTCGTCGATGAGCGGTCTGGACTGTGTGCCAGGGCGGCACCTGACTGGTAGGTGCGCGGTGGACCAGGCGCGGCCCCAGGGCTGGAGCCGCTGGGGCGCGACTCGCGTGCGTCGGGGTGCCCCCGCACGGGGACGGCTTGCAAGCCAGTGTACACAAGGTCGATCAGTGGCTGCGGGTCCAGCTGGAGCTTGCGAAGCGAGACGCGTGGACGGGGCTGGTTGGGGTCGGCCCTGGTGGCTGCTTCAGTGTCGTAGTGCTGTTTGGCCCATGCTCGCGCTGCCTCTGGCGAGTATAGTGCCTGCGGCGGTGGCCACGCTGCCGCGATGCCCAGCCTGCGCCGAGTGCTAGCTTCCTGGTCGTGGGCTTCAGCCGCCTCACGGAGATCTGGATGATCGTAGCCAGCGATGTGGAGGGCGTGCGCACAGTCGCCCATGCCAAAGGCTTGCGGTAAGGCACGGCACCTGGAGGCAGCTTCCGTGGGGGCACACCAGTCCATGCGGATGAGGGGGCCCAGGACCCGAGGGTAGATGAGGCGCGCTCCGTGGGCCTCCCCTTTCACGAAGTTGTGCCAGTTTTCACCGCTCGGTGGTTGGGTGGCCTCGCACATCCAGAGCGCGATGGGTCCCCACCCGAGGGTGTCGTCTTCGAGGCTGTAGGGCGGGTGGGGCGGCACTGCGTACCACGCGGCCAGCGACGGGTGCACACTCACATACGTGCGGCCAACATTTGTGCCAGTTCGACCCTTCGCTTCACGGCGGGGGCCTGGCAGGAGATGCCCCCCGTTGACAGCGAGACGGGCCGCAAGGTCACCGCGGGTCCCATGCCAGAAGACCGTGGACGCGTCGGTGGTGGGTTGACGGAGGTCCCACGTGAGGTAGGGGAAGATCGTCTCGCCTGAGTTCCCGCCCGAGTCTTCCAGCACCCAAGTGAGGCGGTTCGGGGGCTTCTGCATGATCTCAGTCCACGGCGCCAGCGCTTGGAGTGTTGGATCATGGGTGAATCGAGGATGGTCGTGGAGTCGCAGAGCGTCTTTGATGTCCTCTGTAGACACGCCACTGTTACCAAGCGCAAAGCCGTTTTGGTACAGGGCGGTGTGGATGCTCGTCGGCGGCACAGGGACCGCTGGGTCGCGCTGGATGGTGTTGCGTAAGTTGCGCGTCGGTGGCCTAAGGGCTGGGTGGGGCATACCAGGGCCTGGAGGCGCCTGGGGCCTGGCGGGTGATGCGTAGCGTGCTCGCCGTCTTGGTGGCTGGGTGTCCGTGTCGGAGGAGGAACCACGAGCATCTGCATGTCGGGAGATGGACCACGGGCTGTCGAGGGTGCGCTCACGTGTTTCCCTTGCCTCGGCGTTGATCTGTTCGGAAGAGCAGCAAACAGGGCCCCTCTGTAATGCCACCTCATAGCCCCTGGGAGAGGGGGGGGGGGGTAGGGGTGGTAGGGGGGTAGGGGGGGGGGTAGGGGGGTAGGGGGGAGGGGTAGGGGGGAGGGGTTTGGGGGGGTAGGGGGGGGAGGGGTAGGGGGGGGGGGCAGGGGGGGGAGGGGGGATAGGGGGGGGGGTAGGGGGGGGGAAGGGAAGGGTAGAGGGGGTAGGGGGGGGGTAAGGGGGGTAGAGAGGGAAGAGGGGGTAGGGGGGGTAAGGGGGGGGGGGGGGGGGGGGGGGGGGGGGGGGGGGTAGGGTCCATGGGGGCCATGTAAGGCTCCCATAGGGGGCTCCGCCGAAGGCACCAGTGAAAAGTTGTCATATGCAGCCCAAAAGTTGTCATATGCAGCCCCCCGTCGATTTCGACAAGCCCTTCACACGTTTCGCGATCCCATAGGGGCTTCCCATACGCTTCAAGAAGGCTTCCGAACCCTTCTCTTCCTCCTCCTCCTCCTCTCCTCCTCCTCCTCCTCCTCCTTCTCCTCCTCCTCCTGTTCCTTTTACTCTTCTTTCTTCTGCGTTGCATATATGCATACATTTCATCATTTATTTCTTTCTCTCTCTCTCTCTCTCTCTGCCCCCCCAGCATCCCGCATCCCCATCCTCTGCGTCATCGTCATCCTCCTCTTCTTCACCCATCTCCCCTTTTTCCCCCTCGTTCCCCTTCATTGTCTTGCGTATATTCCTTCTCCTCCTACTTGTGATTTCGGCACAGATGTTCCCCTTTGTGCGTGCCTTGGGATCTCGATTTCGGCCCAGAAAGCGCACCGTGGTGAACAACATTTGAAGAGCATGAGGGCGTCAAGCGGGTCTCTGTGGCCTCTTGTGGTCGCCCTCGTGTTGTCATATCCCATCCCCCCTCCCTCGGCCTCTCCCATGTAAGAAGTTGGGGAGGAGGGGGGAGTCGCTGAACCCTTCGGGTTGTGAATATCGAGGAATGTTCAGCTCATCAGGTTGTTCCCTTGCTCTTTCTTGTCCTATTCGCCATCGTCGACCTTCCCCGCCCTCGCGCTCATAGTGCTTTGCCCAAGCCTTCAATTTGATGGAGCTCTCCACGGGAGTCCAGGGCCTTCCTGCCTGCTCACAGCTTGGGGGATGAGCGGGGATGGACGTGCTGGATATTATCCTTTCTGGCGGCAGGGGCTGCGCTGACGACAGCCCCGAGGTTTCCGACGTCTTTGGAGCCGAGGGCGCCGGGGCGGAGCCGCAGTCATCTAGGCGGCGCCCGGGGCGGAGACAGCGGTTGGGCGTATCCGAGAAGATCAAGCTTCTATTCCAACGTTGTTCATTATTGAAACAGGCGCGTGCAATCAAAGAGAAGGAAAGACTCAAGCGTGAAAACAAGTGTCTGAAAGAAAATCTCAGGCCGTTAGAAAAGTCTTGGAATTCAACGCAACTGCACATGGGAGATGCGGTGGCAGGAAGCAATCTGAATGGAAAGGCGTACCATCCAAAGCAATTCAACACCCACGGCGCTCTCAAAATTGCTTTCTCTGATTCTTTGGATGCAAGGCTGCAGACGCGGCACTACGTGGATGTTCGTGCTGCGGTCGTCGATTTCGCTTTGAAGGCCCAATCGCAGGCGGCGAACGACCGCATCAAAGAGACCAGTTGTTTATACATCGAACGGTCGTTCGACGACACTGTCGTGCACGTGGCTTTTGGTATGCTCGCAGAACATATTGCTTCAGTAGCCCGATACGTCGTCCCGCCTGAATTTCGTGAGGCAGCGTTGGGGAAGGCGTTTCTAAGTTATAAAGAAATGATGACCTACGGGGTTCCGCTGACGCAGCATGGCGTGCTCGACGTTTTCGCGATGAACGTTGTCGTCGACACGTGCGGAGGACCCCATTTCGAAATGATGGTTCCACCACGCGTGATGTTGGGGAAGAAAGCTGGGAATATCTTCAGAGGTATGGAGTCGACGTTGCAGTCGTTCTTCAGTCTGGAAGCTCTCAAGGCTCTCGAGAAAGCTCTCATTCTTTTGGTCGACAATGCTGATTCCGCATCTGCGAACAGAAAAGCAATGCTTTACTTTGGCAAAATGGCTGCTTCGACAATCTTAGTGTTTGCAAATCGTTGTGTTGTTCACCAATTATTCCGTTCTGTTATCGTGGTTTTGGAGAAACTGGAGTTGGTTCGGCCGATGTTCGCGCTCACGAACGTCTTGCACTTGTCGAGCAAGCAAGATGACTTCAAGCGGGCCGTGGCACTTACTGTCAGGAAGCAGTTGGCGCATTTCGACCCTGGTCTAGCTCCACCGAGCGAGGATGCACCTCACCGCTTGCAGGCTTCGCATTTGATTCATGCGCTCGTCATCGATCGGTCAGTGCGGCACGAGTTCTCCAATCCGTTGTCCAATGCCAGCCAGGATGACATCGTTAAGAAAGGAATGCAGCTTTTTTCAGCCTTGACTGGGCCGTGGCAGCACAAGCGGATCCGCCATGACTGCGGTGGGTGCCCCGATTGCCCGTGCGGAAAGACATTAGAAGGCGCTAGAGGATACGTCATCGAGTTGCTCTTTTGGCTGTTCTTCGAGTTGATGGGCGACAGGCCTGCGCTTGGTCGCTGGGTTGGTCTGGGGCCTTGCTGCTCGTGGCTAGGTGCGTGCTTAGTGATCCACGATGTATTCAGGCAGGCGTGGTTGCTTGCCTTTTCCAAGCACTATGGCGGGCGCGCCCAGGCGGGCGCGGATATCGACGACGCGGCATTGGGCAACGAGCACTTTACAGCCATTGTCGGCAGGCGCGTCAAGAAGGCCAGCCCGGGCCCAAACAGCGCTTGCGATCCCTCCTACTTCCCCCCCATCCCTCTTCCACATCGCAAAATGCAGAGCAGCAGCAAGCAGCGCAGCAAAATGCGACACAGCAACAATGCAACGCATCAAAATACATCACATCAGCAATGCAACGCAACAGCATACAACACGTCGAACATGCAGCACAGCAAAATACAACATCACAATGCATCTCCCCACTCATCCACGTCTTCATCCTCCCATATCCCCCCGTCCCCTGCTGCCCCGCTCCCTTCGCTCCCGCTCTGGCATTTTCATTCTCCTCGTAGCCGCCGTCGTCGGTCGCCCAAGTCGTACTCGTCGCCTTTCTCGTCCTTGTCGTCGTCGTCGTCGTCGTCGACGTGATCGGCATCGTCGTTTGTCGCTGTCGCGTCGATCGTCGTCGCCAGTTCTTTCCTGCGGCGATCGGCAGCGGGGGGGGGGGCGGCCCTTGTGCGGGCGCGAAAATCCTGGGCGATTTCTTCCCTCTGGTAGCATTCCTGATTGTTATCGAGTTCCCACTGGGTCTCCCCGGGGGCCCCGTGGGCCATTTTTTTCACTGATGCCGCGCGCGCCCCCCGCTCACAGGTGAATGACTTCGTGGTGGACGACTCGAGGTGCAGCAAGGTTCTTGCGCTGGCTCTGGTCAGCAAGCCAGTGGATGACTTAACGTTGAATCTGCTTCGACTGGATTCTATGGGCCGCATCCTGTGTGACCTGACTTCGAAGAGCATGAATCCCGTCCAGACGGCGCAGAGGGCTTTCGTTCGCGAGCTCGCGAGCAAGCAGGTCGCCAATGCCGTCTCGAGCTTCTTCCCACTCACGGAGGATAAGCAGCGCGACCACATGTCCGTTGTGAGGACGATGTTGGTACAATTGGGCGCTGCAGTCAGCTTCCGCCTGGGAATGTACTTCGATGACTTCCCCTTCAAGCTCTTGCACTGCATTCACCCAGATCGCGGGCCTGAGGAAAAACATGCAGCGGCTGACCATTTCTACGACACTCCAAGGTGTTGCCTTGACCCGTTCTTCTCTGCTCGGCTTCGCGACCTTTTCGAGACCGCTTTCGATTTCGCCTCTGATCTCAACGTGCGGAAGGTGTTGCAGGCGTGGATGAACAGGGGGAAAGTGACTACTGGACACATAGAGCGCGGGCACGGGCGCGACAGGGTTTCTTTCGAATCGACCCGGAGGACGAGGCGGCACGTCGAACCTGCGATCTACCATAGCCATTGTCGAGGATTGATGCACTGGCACGTGAAGCTTGGCGGTCGCAACTACACGCTGGAACAACATACATCGCATTTTGCCAGCGCCCGATTTGGCCTCAGGCTGGACAAGTTCAACAAGAGGCGAATTGTTCGAGACGCTAGCGGCAAGGCACGCCGTGTCTCTGTGCGGCCAGATGAGCGCTGCAAACGCCCGAGGGGGAATGACGCCGGGAGCGATCGAGTGAGGTTTGTCAACGATCAGTCCAGGGTCGCCAAGAGATTGCGCGGGGGCAAGCGGCAGCCTAGGGCTTCGGAGACGAGGCAACGGCAGCAGTGGGGCAAAGACTGGGACGACATGGGCGGTGATGCTCGGGAGAGGTGGTCATCCATTCACCCTTCAGCTCGGCTCCTGAACGACGTGCCCAGTGACGCCCCTCCAACGCAGCGAGTGCCCGATGATATCTTGGACATCCTGGAGGGCGGCGACGCTGGCCCTGGAGATCACGGGCAGACCAGCGCTTGGCAGCATAGTCGCGCACTGGCCCCGCTGGTAATTGGCGACGATACTTGGCCCGTCGACGTCGGCGGCTTCGAGTCTCACTTGGCGGCGCGCGCCGCGGAGTTCGGGTTCACCGAGTGGCGCGGCGGTATTCAAGCTGTTGGCGAGGCTTGTAGACCAGCGCTGCGGAACGCGATGTGCGTCGACTGTGACCCAGCATTGAATCCCGTCCTGGTGGTGCCCGTGGCCTGTCGCGAGAAGCACCCCGGGCTGTGCTGCACGCGGGATGCCGACATCTACGACGAGACGCTGGCACTTGCAGATGAAATGCATCGCCACATGCACGGCCTAGCGGCAGGCACGTACGTGGGGTTCCACGCGACCGTGTACTCCAACATTTTCTGCTTAGGAGTGGCCCGGCTGAGGGACCCAGCAGTGTGCATCTTGACAGAGGTTGGCATCGACACAGACACGGAGCCTCATCGCTTGTTTTTTGACATTGATGTTGAGGCGGAGACTTTCAGATTTCTTACAAGCTACAGCATCGCCAGGGAGCTGATCACGGCGTTCCGCACCGTGAAGGACGACGTGATGATGACGGTGTTCGACGTGACGAGCTTGAGAGACAACCCTTGCGATGTCGAGGTGGTAGGCCGCCGCTACATCACTCTGCGCGCTGCTGTTGAGGGGGGCCCAGGAGGCGGGGCAGGCGGCGGGCCGCCGCCTGGCGGCGGGGCTGGCGGGGCTGGCGGGGATGGAGGAGCAGGCGGCGGCGGGGATGCTGGCGGCGGCAGTGGCGGTGACATCCTTGACATCATAGTTGCCGCAGATCCTGGTCCCAGAGGGCCACAGGGCGCGCCGGGCTCTGGCGGCATTCGTGCAGTCAACGCCCACCCGCAGGAGCACGTGCACGAGGATTGGGGTACAGGTTCAGAGGTGCCCGAGGACGCCAGCGTCTGCCTCGGCTCCGACGACGGAGGTGATGCCATACCAAAGTCCAGCCCCCCTGTCATGTATCTTCGATCGTCGCCCTGACAGCAATCGCGATCACGGTCGTGATCGTCGGCTCGTGAGGGAGCCTCCTTCGTCGTGGTGATCGTTGCTTGTCGTCGGGATCGTGGCAGCGATAGTGATCTCGATCTCGTCGCATTCTCGGTCGCGCTGATCTTGGCCTCGAGGGCGCCTTCTTCCATCGCGATCGTGATCGCGGTCGTCGTCGTCGTGGCGATCGCGATCGTCGTCGCCTCTTCCATCCAGCGTTCCTGGTGGTCGTTGTCGTCGTGCCCGTAGGTGATAGGGCGACGCAATCTATACATATCCACTGCTCCCTGGCCAGGCCCATCCTGAACACAGCAGCTGTGTATACGCCGCGCCCTCCTGGTTTGGCCAGGAGGGCGTATACACAGCTCCTGGGTTCAGGATGGGCCTGGCCAGGGAGCAGTGGATATGTATAGATTTCGCCCTCCGAAGGTGAAGGCGGTGGTGGAGGAGGTGGAGGCGGCGGAGCTGGCGGTGCTAGCAGCGCAGTGGCTTCTGCAGGGCCTTTGGCCCCTGCTGGCGCGGGCCCGCCGCTCCCTCCTCCAGCCGATCCGCCAGCCCCTCCCCCTGGCAGTGGAGGCGCCCAGGGCAGCGACGATCACGGCCAGCCCGACCCGCCGCCGCCGCCGCCCATCGGCGATGGCGCCGACGCGCGCGATCGCCGCGCTGGAAGGGACGGGTGGCCGAGGCTGCCCGTGCCCGGGCTTGGGGGAGACTCCTTCATAAGATTCAGCGTCAACAAAAACGGCTTCACGGATTTCAGGAGCGTCTGCCACCACTGCGGCGCGACCATGTCAAGGACATGCAAACCCCCGCCCCCAAGCGCCAAGGAGGGGACTGTCCTGAAGGGCCAAGGCAGGCCTTTTGGCAAATGCGTAGCTTGGCTGATGTACAACCTCGAGCACCCCGTGCACTCAGCGGAGGACCACGCAAAGTTCGTGCCCGACTACCTCGCTCGCCGCAGGGCCCGCGAGAGCTGCTCGGCGATAGATGGGGTGGACTATTGGCTGACTGCTGAGCGGGAGCGGGGCCCAGCTACAGTGGACGATGATATAGGCGAACCTCTCCAGTTGCCCTGATCATAGCCGCCCAGAAAAAAACGCAGTCAAAGAGCGCGGGCACATGACATCATGTGTCCAGGGCGGGCCCCTCGGGCCCCAGTGATCTCAACGTCTTTGATATCCAAAGTGCGGGGCGGGGCTCTATGGCGCCCACCCCTCAGGGCAATGCTGCAGTAGACTTGTTCAGGGGATTCGTGCGAGCACTTCGGGCCGTTCAGGAGGCCCGAATTGGAATGCGTTAGGCTCTCCACCATAATTTCGACATCTCTGGCATACATTATGAGCCCATCCTGTGCCATTCTGGTGGCCTCCGTAGTCGGCCCGGGCCGTATTGGAAGCCATCTTGGATACCTTGGCCGCCTTGGAATGCGCCAGGGCTCTTCCCATTATTTCGACATCGGTTGCGTAAGTTATGGGGCAATCTTGGGCCATCTCGGTGGCCTCCGTGGCCTTCCTGGGCCGTTTTCGAAGCCATCTTGGATACCTTGGGCGCCTTGGAGTGCGCCGGGGCCCCTCCCATAATTTCGGCATCGCATGTATAAATTATGGGGCAATGTTGGGCCATCTCGGTGGCCTTCCTGGCCTGTCCGGGCCGTCTTGGAAACCATCTTGGATACTTTGGGCGCCTTGGAGTGCGCTTGGGCTCTTCCCGCGATTTCGACATCGTTTGCGTAATTTACGGGGCCATCTTGGGCCATCTTGGTCTTGGTGGCCTCAGAAGGTATTGCCCGCGCAGGGGGGAAGTAGGGCCGTTCGGGCCACGTCACTCCGACGAATACTCAGCGATAAATGGGCACATGTACAAGAGTGCGCTGCCGTCGCCAGTCTCTTCCTCAGAGATTTTTGCAGCAGCGCAGGGCTGCTACCTCTCGGGATGTCGTCCCCCGCCCACGGGGGTCTCTTGGGCGCCATGCGCGCCAAGGCCGAGGCCAAGGCGGCCGCTGCCAAGGCGGCAGCGAAGGCTCGGAGGGCAGGCCGGGCAGCCAGGAGAAAGGCCCAGCACTTGGCTTTGATGGCGGAAGCCAAGCGGATGGCTGAGAGGGAGGAGGCTGCGGTGGCGGAAGTGGGGGCAGAGGAGGAAGAGGAGGTAGAGGAGGAGGAGGAGGAGGAGGAGGAGGTGCCAGCGGAGCCGGCGGTCAGGAGGAGGCCAGCGGCCTTGCAGAGGCCACCGCCTCTGAAGCGGCCAGCTGCGTCAAAGTTGGCGGTCATGAGGAAGCCAGCGGCCAGGCAGAGGGCGCAGGAGGGTGAGGAGGAAGAGGAGGAAGAGGAGGAAGAGGAGGAGGAGGAGGAAGAGGAGGAGGAGGAGGAGGGTGCTGACGAGGACGAGTTTGAGGAGGAGCAGGAGGAGGAGGAGGAAGACGAGGAGGAGGAAGAGGATGTCGAGCTCGAGGATGCTGCGCCTGTCACCGCGGAGAAGGGTGACATCATGGACATCATCGCGAACCGCGAGAAGGACCGCGCCGGGGACCCGGGGTTGGGGCCTATGCAAATCCAACGTCGTCGTCATCGATGTCGTCGTCGACGTCGTCGCTATGAGGGGTTATGGGAAGCGCGCTCTAGGGGCTCGAAGGTTATGGTAGTCTTTCGCCCAGTGCCTTTAGTTCGAGTGGCTTACGCTTTTCCGCCGACGCGCATCTCGTGAAACACCCCGCGAGAAACACCCCTCCAAACACCCCTCCAAACACCCAGTGAAACACCCCGCACACAACGAAGCGCCCCGCGAACCACCGCGCGAAACCACCGCACGAAACACCCAACGAAACACCACCACCAATCACCCCATGATAGCGATGATGATGACGATGATGCTGATGATGGTAATGATGATACTGATGATGGCGATGATAATGCTGATGGTGGCGATCATGGCGATGATTATGATGATGCTGATGGTGGCGTTGATGACGATGATGGCCATCATACGATACGATACGATACGAAAGCACTTGGGGCCGATCCATCCAGTGGTCACCTTGCCTCGCTCAAATGGGACGCGTCCCGTTTGAAACAGGGCCCAAGAGATTTGGGCCCAAATGGGACGCGCCCCGTTTGAAGCGTCGAGGCGTATGTTTTCCAACCATTTGTTGCCATGCCACCGCCATTGACGGACCGCACTTGAACAACATATGGCGCTGGCGCTGCTGCTAGTGCTATCGGGGCCCTCGCAGGTGTCTTCGTGGGTTCGTCGTCGTCGCCGTCGCCGTCATTCGTTTTTTAATTGTGTCGGTGCTATCCCCCCCAGAGAAAGGCCGCTGCCGCCAGTGCAGCACTTGTCGACGTCGTCGCCGTCGCCGTCGCCGTAGCCGCGGCTGTCGCCTTTGCCGTCGCCGTCGTCGTCGTCGACCCCGCGAAACATATAACACGAAACAGCGCCACGCGAAACACACCGCGACAAACGCCCCCGCGAAACACTTTACGCAACCTCCAAAGCACGCCACGAACCCATGGATCCGCCCATGGAATGCCACTCAGGGCCGTCCAACACTCAAACCATGATAGCCTCAGGGCCAAGCTCCCTGTGGGGTCCCAATGGGACCCCCCCCCTCCCTCCCCCCCCCGTCCCCCCCCCCCCCCCCCCCGCCCCCCCCCTGCCCCCCTCTCCTTCCGGCGATTGGCCGGCGATTGTCCGGGGGGGGGGCGTGGCCTTTCTTATTGATTTACATATAGGTGCGAGGGGGGGCCGGCGATTGGCCGGCGATTAGCCGGCGATTGGTGGGGGGGGGGAGGGGGGGGGGAGGGGGGGGGGGGGGGGGGGGGGGGGGGGGAGGGGGGGGGGGGGGGGGGCCGGTCGTCGTCGCCCATTGGGGCCCCACAGGAAGCTGAGAGCCCAAGAAGATGGTGAGTTTCGGTCCGTCTTGGAAACCATCTTGGGCCTCCTGGGAGCTTCTTTCCAGATATGTCTCGGCCGTGCCCATCCTATAAGGTCGTCGTCGTCGTCGTCGTCGTCGTCGTGGTGGTAAGACCCGCCCTGCTCATACATAGTGTAATGGCTCAGCCCACGGGAGGTGACCCGCGCCACATGTGGGACCTTTGCTATTTCAAAAGAGATGTAGCGAAACATCCCGCTACAACGCGAGGAGGAGGATCGGATCGGATCGGATCGCAGCGTTGCGTTTATGCGTTGTTTGCAGAGCGGTATCGGGTATAAACAGCTAGGTGCTCGGGGCGGTCTCGGGTATAAACAGCTAGGTGTGGTTGGGCCCGCGAGGAGGAGGAGGAGGAGGAGGAGGAGGAGGAGGAGGAGGTAGAGGGAGAGAAGGAGGAGAAGGTGGCGGGCCCCACTTTTGAGCAAGTCTATCATGATAGAGCTGAGTTAGTGTCCTCTTGGAGCCCAACTTGGAGCCATCTTGGGGGCGCTCTTCGGCCCTCCCTGGGGCCCTCGGAGGGGCCGAACCTTCTTGGGGCCGTCTTGGAGCCGTCTGGGGGCCCACTCCCTCTGAGGGCTTTTGGAGGGGCCCCAAGAAGCCAAATGGTAACGAAAAGCTCGTGGGGGACAAATGGTAACGAACAGCTCGGGGGGGACAAGTGGTAACGAAAAGCTCGCGT